GAGTCAAAAGCCACTAAGCACGTGTGATTTGGACACTTGTTTCGAGATATACTCTAAAGATGATAGATCATGCGGATATTCCAGCCCTAGGTCTAGTACACACTTGAATAACCAAGTGATGTCTTAGGCTGGAACAACCGTTACAGAGCCAGCCGCACAATTCGATATTAAACTCGAGTCGCCACGTGTCACAAAATCTATCCTTTTTTATCAGTTCTTCATGTATATAGTTCAAAGTTGTACCGATATATGTATTTGTGCATGAATAGGTCACCTTCAAGTCATCTGCATACAGTATTGGTTCGCCTATACTAAAGCACTCACATATACTGTTTATGTATATAATGAAAAGAAAGAGGCCCAATACACTCCCCTGGATGACACCACTGCTAATCGGCCTAGGCCTGGAGGTCATCGAGCCAATCTTTGTCTGATTTCTGTCACTGAGAAATGATTTTATCCAGTTGTGGAGGGGGTTGCGTATCCCTAGTGAGCATAGCCTGCTGACTAGCAGACTACGTGGAACTCTATCAAAGGCTTTCCTTATGTCAAAAAGAGGATAATAACTAACTCTCTCCTATCTCTTCTGTAAGTGACTTCGTTGAAAAAGCCCATGTGGCAAGTGGCATATAATCTTTTCTTGAGGAATCCGTGTTGTGACTGGTTGATGAGTTTATGTATTAGAAAATAGTCTGACATTTGGTCTTTGATTACTTTCTCCATGATCCTTGATATGACAGGTGTTATATTGATATGCCTATAATTGCATGCACTAGTTTTGCCCTTTCTTTATGCTTAGATAATATATACGTGTTTTTCCAAATTTCAGGGTAGGTCCCAGTCACTAGTGAGATAGTAAAAATTCTAAGTAATCATGCCGTTTTGTATATGACATTAAAAGCTAACAGTAGTTGCGGGATGGATGATATACCATCTGTCATATACAAAGACAGATGTTATATCATCCATCCCGCAACTACCGTTAGCTTTTAATGTCTTTACCGCTGATGCTATCATTTGTATATTAAAGTTGATTCCACCCAACTTGTAGTTATTTTCGCAGGTTATGTGGAGAATTGGGAATGGGTGCGCTTTGGTGTCATTGAATAACCACTGGCTGAGGAATCCATCGATAATCTGGAGATCATCATAAACTACACCTTCATGTGCCAAGAGGCTCACGTCATTGTCCTTACCCCTTTTAGTCATTTTTGTAAGATCTTACAGAGTTCCTGAGTTTTGGAGCTGCCACCTAAGGTTGTGCCATTATTTCATGTCTCTCCTCAAGATTTTTAGAAGTTTCTTTTATCTAGTGTAATGCACCAAATTTCTTCAACTTGATATGATTATGAGCAATAGTTTATGCTCGAAACGTCATCAGTTGATATTACTATACAGCACTGTGTGATTTATCAAAACAAAATCTTATCCATCATGGAGTTAAATAAAATTCACTTTCCAGTTTCCTTAGTTCTAGCCGCGTTTTGCGGTCTATGAATAGAGTTGGTGTCTTTAGGGCATATTTTAGGGGAGCGATTGTGTCTCCTACCGAAATGATTGTCATGTAGAAGACATTAGGTGTTACTTCTAAGTTATTTTCGGTAAAGTATTCACCTCAGTCAGAGCTTCTCATTAGTGCTGGTAGAAATTCCCAGTCAACATACGATTACGTAATCAGCAACATATTTAATGTTGCATCCAATCTTCCCTTCAGTTATAATATAATTGGAGGTGACTTCAGTTTGCCTGATATATCGTGGAGTGCACTTCGAGGACCCTCGAGGTATGATAATCTTCTTAATTCCATCATTACAGGAGGATGGACGCAACATATAAATGTACCAACTAGGTCTGATAATGTTCTTGATCTTATATTCACGATCAACGTAGTACCATCTACGATACATGTGGGACATGAATTCCCAGGTAGCGATCATAAAATAGTGGCATGTTCGTTTAACATTTCTCCAGAAACTATACACAGAAACGAAGTTAGTCGGACACCTATAAGACTATACACACATGTTTATTGGGACCTGTATCAGGACTTGATTAGATACTCTAATTGGGATTCCTACTTTAATAATGACTCCTTAGAGTAAGTTCTTAAAAATTTCTATGACAATATACAGTCTGTTAATGATGTCATAGCGCCTGCGAAATTGATTAAATTCAAAACCCCTCAAGACGATTTCATTCCTATATCATTAGGAAGAAGTTTGCGAAAGCATTCATTAAGTTACTACAGACATGACGACTTATCATCGTTAATCGCTATCAAATCAATCCTCATTAGAATCTATGATTTGAAAAGTCTAAGTCTTAGGAATGAAGAAATGCGGGCCATTCAGTCGCCACATAACACTGGAGAAATAGCCAAACTCTTCAAAAATAGGTTATCAAACTCCAAATCAACATATCCAAAAATAACTCACCCAGGCGGTATCACTCCCGAAAGTGCTGAGGATACATGTGAGGTGTTTAGCACGCGCTTCACCAAACTATACACTCTAGAAAATGACCGGGATATTGATTTCCCTCGTTCAACAGAAAAGTGTTCAAGTGATGTATTCTTAAACGCCCAACAAATCGATAGAGCCATAGCAAATCTCAAGATTACTAATAATACCGGACCACATGGAATGTCCTCCATCCTCTTAAAAAATGGTGGAAATGACATGAAACTAACTATCCTCAAGATATTTTCAACTTCGCTCAGGGGTGAAACATATCCAATAAGCTGGAAAAAAACTTACGTTGTACCCATTCACAAAACCGGAACTAAAGAGGACATAGATAACTACCGTCACATCAACATTACCTCCGTGGTTTCACGTGCGATGGAAAAGTTTGTAAAGAAGCAAATTCTTCAGTATTTGCTTTCGAATGACCTAATATCCCCTTTCCAATACGGTTTCTTAACTAGAAGGTCGTGCATCACTTGAATGTGTAGACAAAGGTCGTTCGGCAGCAACACTATTTCTAGATGTTAGGAAAGCTTTTGATAAGGTCCCACATAAGAGACTCATATCGAAACTCCTATCTTATGGAATAAGTGGAAGGCTACTCGAGTGGATAACTTCCTTTCTAACAGGAAGAGAACAGTTAGTTCAAACCAATCATCACTTATCTACATCTAAACCAATAACCAGCGGAGTGATACAAGGTAGCGTTCTTGGTCCTACCCTATTCATTGTATTCATAAATGATATTGTCTCTGTGATCAAGTATGGCAAGCCGTACCCCTTCGCAGATGACCTCAAAGTTGTATTTGATTTCGACTATAATGATGTGAATATTGCTAGTAAAATCCAACAAGACCTAAATAGTCTATGTAACTGGAGTGAAAAGTGGCAGTTAACGTTCAATCCAGCCAAGTCTGGGATAACATACTTCGGACGTTGG